AGTGCCTGTCTTTCCTTAAAACCTTATTTGCCACCTCCCAAAAGTGCTAGGAGCGTTGTGGCCTAGGTTTCCCAGGATAAAACGTACAACGGTTCGACGTTTGAGCACCCAAACGAACGAACCCAGCGAACTAGAGCACGGGCAAAACACAGTAGCAAGAAAAGGAGTAGGAGCAGAGGTTTTGAGAAGGAAAATTGCTTATCTTTGTGTGTTGTTCACTCTCGTGTTCTTCCCACACTTGTTGTAAATCACTTGCTCCTACTACCTCTTCTTATATAGGAATTGGAGTACTAAATAGCATTTAGTAGGCATTCATGGCACGTTGGTAACATCTGAAACAGCTGGTCATTAGTGCAGGTTTAATTCAAAATTCAAAATGAATTAATACAGAGATTAATTCCTGTAACGGATGAATTAAATCTCCACTGTCCAGAAACAGCTCTGGTAGACCGAAGTGCTGTTCAGCCGCAGCGCACGAGAGCAACTCTCGTGCTACATGCTCTCGGCCAGGCCGCAGCGCACGAGAGCAACTCTCGTGTTGCTTGGTCTCGGCCAGCGCACACGAGAGCACCTCTCGTGCTGCTTGTTCTCTGTTCGACCAGCGCACGAGAGAGCAACTCTCGTGTTGCTCTCTGTTCGGCCTAATGCTCTCGGGCCAGGTCGAACCCATGTTTTCAAGTGGCTTAGAGTTTGGAAAACTGATACCGAAAGTTGGCATAACTTAGCCCGCAAGGCCAGCCAATTTCCGGACGACATTCGTCGCCCGTAGGTGCCGGCGCACACGAGCTCGGGCTTGAATCAAGCCTCTCCGAAGTCATCTCTAGTTGGAATTTGATTTGCACCCCCCCCCCCCCCCCCCTGCGCGAGAGAGCCTCTATGCTATACAATTCTACAAGCTTTAAAAAAGCTCTTGTATAAAAAGGGGGGTGAAATCCTCTTTCCAAATCAATGTGGGACAAAACTCACTTTCCCCTTACATTTTCCAACTCAATGGGTCTACTTTGAGAATCAATATCTCATTCACCCATTATCCGTTTTGAGCGTACAATATATCAATCTCTTCGTCTCACTACGAAGAATCCGAATCCACTTTCACCCGATCCAAATCGGAAGTGGACCCCACTGATAATTGTACCACAAAATAGTCACTTAACATGTCATTTTATGCCATTTTAATGCTATTTTTCCAACAATCCCCCACATGAATGAAAAATTGATTTTCAGGGTATTTTGAAATCGGAAACAACTGTGTTTAACGGTCAATCCCTGCATAGGATAGGTAGGGATCACTATACCCTTTGAACCTTCCCTTGTGAAGACATGTTTACTCTACTGGCTGTACGGTAGAACGCGATGTCTTTGAACCAACTGCCGTTTGTGTAGACAATGACATATCTCACACAGGAACCTCCCAACCATGCTCTGTTCTCATTAGTGTGCCCATTTTGGTTGTGGGTCACCGTCCTGGTTCTGCAAGAGTTTGTGAAGAATTGCGCCCATCAATTCTCCTTTGAAGCGACCCTCACTTCTCTCTCACATAGGTAATTCTTTTCCGAGTATCCCGCATACTCACACATGTCAACCGACATTCGAATCATTAAAGCATCAACATGCTAACCTTATGCGGGAGTCACTGTTTCTAACGAGGAGTGGTAGGGAGTCCGAGACCCCCACAGTGACACGCTCCGTTCCATAATTTAGTTGTCCCATTGAACCTAGGTGTCAGCTAGGTTGGGTATCCACTATAGAACTTTTAGTCCAAGGGCTTTAGACCCATTCCTCGTTCCAACTTCTCCACATCCATTTGCTTACCCTCGGGTTAGCGAGTTAGCGGCCGCTACGTTATCTTTTGACATCACGTAGTCAATAGAGATAACTCCCGTTGTGAGAAATTGTTTAATGGTATTATATCTACGACTTATAAGTCTAGACTTACCATTCCACATTTAACTCTGTACTTAACCAATTTTGGCTTGACTATCGCAATGCACACAAATTGGAGGTACGAGTTCACCACTAGGAACATTCTCGAAATAATGGCATAGCCATTCGGCCTACTCGCTCGCGACACGAGTGTAAGGCTCTCAGCTTTGATCCCGTCGGATCTTAGCTATCACAAATTCATTTCGAGAATTTCCGTCCAACCGACTGCACTGGCCTACGTAAGGACGTAGCCTTTAATGGACTTAGTATCCTTTGATATCCGTGCTATATTTTCCAAGTACAGCTAGATATCTCACTTAGTGCAGTCCAACGTCACGAGCATACCTTGAGTATCTCATTACTTTCACTATTGCCTTCTAGTGCATAACACTAGGGTTACTCGTATGTCACCGAGTTCGTTAACCACTAAGGCAATATCCGGCCTAGTACAACCCATTTGATACAATTAAACTACCGATAATCTGAATGTATTCTCCGTGAGAAGTACAATCTCCGAGATTATTGGCTAGTTGTACGTTAGTATCTAACGGTGTCCAAGCCACTTGATTAACATCCTTTGCAAGGATTTAATCAACACAGTGAGATTGGCTCAACACGAGACCATACAGTCTTCTCACAATTTTAATCCCGAGGATTAAATCTGCCAAGCCCACACCTTTGATCGCATGTCAAATCTCAAATTTAACATGTTCTCGGTAGAATTGATCATGTGATCGTTACTACCCACGTTGAGTTTATCGTGTATAGACAAATAGTGATAACCTCATCTATCGTACGCATTACGTAGACATTTATCACATTTGTTTATACTGAACTAGTGACACATCATTGTATGATAAAAACTTACATGCCAAGTACTAAGGCAATTGTTTCTTCAAACCAAACAATGATCTTACCAGTTACACACTTTCTTTCCATAGCGCGGAACCACGAAACCCTCGGGTTGTTCCATGTATATTAAGAAAGCGATACATCCATTTCGATAAACTTCCAAGTTTCGCTAAACAGCTCTTGGGAAGTATCATCCTAATGGATTTCATTCTCATCACAAGAGAATATATTTTGAAGTAACTGTGGCACTCGCATTGCATGTAATTTAAAATTACAAGCTCGGCCATTTTACTTCGATATAACCAACCGATTTTATCTTTCGACTAGTGATCCGTTTAGGATCTAGGGGTTTTACAACCCGAAGGAAGAACAACCAGTTCCAAGTATGATTCTTTTAGATAGAATCTACTTCACGCTCGGTAGCCTCTCTCGGGTTGGTCCATCTGTAGAAGTCAACACTTCTACATACGTTCGAGGCTCGTTTTCTAACAACCATGTCAGAAAATCCAATTTATTTTCTAGTAAACAAGTTAGATTGTGCGCATCACACTCTAACATGTACGTCAGAAAATCTGAACCAAAGGATTTTTCAATCCTAGCTCTCTTGCTACGTCCAGCTTTGAGCTCGGGTTCTTTTTCACACCCTTCAACCATAGCTACGTCAAAAGTTCCTTTCAACGTGCTAGGTCCTTTATTGATCCTTCACAAAAATACATCTTTCAAGAACGATGAATTTCTTGAATCAATCTTTCGTGTTCTTATGTACATCCAAACTCTTGGACTCGTGTACTAAGAACCAATACACACCTTTGGCAAGACCCCCCCACATTTCGGGCATTAGAAGGAAACTTCCTACGTACCCACAATTCGTAAGAATTCCATGTGGGTAACCTTATTTAAAAGGTATTTACTTGTCCAAAGTATTGTCTCACCCTCATACTCTGAGGTAGACCCGAACTTATCAACGTCTTGATATTTTATGTTCGGCAACAACGCTCGATTGAGGTGAATACCGTGTCGTACGCTCGAGTACGATACCAATGCTTGCGCCGAAATCACCAATAGGTGTTTCTTTTTCACCACATCGATTGTTCGTAACCGCATTAATCCACGATTAATTTGGTTTTTCTCTTTTTATTCTTTAAAGAATAAACATGTGTTACACGCTAACACATCTCGTAGATGCTAACAGATTAGCCCTCACGAATCCATTCGGTTTTGACCGAAAGGCCACAAACCCGAATCAGTGCTTCCGAAGTTAAAGCACGAATCAGTGCTTAGTAGTGAAGCACGAAACATGCTACACAAAGCACGAATCATTGTTGCCAAACTAACGCACCGATTCCAAAGCAATCTTTATTGCTTTAAATTATAAACTCACAACAACCTTTCGTTGCTTAATTTATAATTACAGTGCTACCTGGCACTAGGATTATTAGTTAATTACACAATTAACCAAACTTCCTTTCGTGCTAATCACATAACACTTTTACAACGCTAAATTTAATTAGCCGCATACTATACGAAAGGTTTAAGCTAAGTAGATTAGCATTAGGACCAATCATAATCTAGCACCTTTCACTAGTACAGAAACAGTCATTCGCGTCCAAAGTAGCTGGGACGCAGATGGCGGGGATATACAATTCGCGTCCAAAAGCTACTTTGGACGCGAAAAATGATAAATCGCGTCCAAAGTTGAAGAACTTTGGACGCGAAAAATGATAATTCGCGTCCAAAGTTCATGAACTTTGGACGCGTATAGTGTTTATTTATTTAAAAAAAAAATACTATACGCGTCCAAAGTTTCTGAACTTTGGACGCGTATAGTAAACAATTTAAAAAAAAAAAATTTATAAAACTACCAATATTTTCCTATACATCCCAGCATAACTACCAAATAATATATTTCAACATTAATCAATTTAAGATATATACTACACACCAATTCTATCAACATTTGTTTAACCTGCAAAAATTATAGATAATATAAAGGATTTAGATATACATAATTAACTAAAGATTTCCTCATTTTTGGCTTCCATAGCCATTTACAGTGACAAACTTTTCTTATATGAAGAAGAAAACAGACCAAGAATGAATTAAGTCAGAAACAAGGCCAGAAAATTGTCATAGTGGGGTCATCCAACAACATATACTCCATCTATAAGGAATGCAAATAGCAAGAAACAATCCATCAATTATCTGACCAGGTGTTTTGGAGCATACCATGTCCAAATGGGTGAAGTGCTCAATTCGTGTGTTTGCAAACAACCTATACAACAAAAATGGTTATGGTCACTTGGCCAGTTGCAGCAAAGAAACCAAAGACAATGGATAAGGGAAACCCTTGATTTAAGGTGGGGTTTTATAAAATTTAGTCCTTACTTCTCATATGCAGTTTGGACTCTAGCATTCTGTATCTCTGTAAGTTCATTTACTCTTTCTGTTGCACAACCTTCATTTATATCCACAAACCCATGGAGAAACATGTTCCTTTCCAACATTCTTTTGACTAAAGCACAGACAACTTTTATATTGTTGGCTTTTGCATCTGCAACAAGGTTTCGCAACCTCTTCAATTCTCCTGTAAAGGAGTTAATTAGTATGCACCATCACATCAATGACCATATAACATATCAGCAACATGAATCACTTTTAAAAGAGAAATTGATAGTTTAAAAGAGAAATTGCAACCAATGAAAGTGCCAAAACACAGACCTTGATATTAAGTTCATCTCTTTCAGCTAGCATCTGCAACAAATGCTGATTCTGCATGGATGGTAAAAGGTTAAATCAGGAAAAAATATGTTTAAGCTTAAGGCTTCACACAGTAGAAAATAAAATGAAATAGAGATGGTTGGTCTTACTTTGAGAGTACTTCCTGTGTAATGAACAACTGCAATGACCATTCAATAGAATATTCAAGTGAAATGCCATCCCATCCATCTAACTTAGATGTATACAAGCAATATTAATTTTTAAATTTTACAAGTAATTGGTAAAATCATCAACAAAGCTTTTAGTACTGGACATACTTGGGACCTGCTGCCATTGTAGCATAGTTCCCTATTTGCTCCCTGCACAAGAAAATTTATATTATACACCCTTGAAGATAAAACTTGAGGATAATTATACATTTGAGAAAATATATACTGAAAATGTTTTCCTAATGAAGGATAGTTAAAGAGAATGAAAGAATAATTACTTGTAACATGGAGGATACTAAAAATTTATATTTTGCTCTCTCTTTTCTATCAAACTTGCCCTATGGATCCAAGCCAAGCTAAAGACACTCCCAACTCCGAGTGTGTGCTATACTTGGAGCCTATAAAGACTCCACCATTCATGGCACAAAACCCGAATGGGCCCCTAAGGCTAGAAGCTACCCCAAGAATCTCTTCTAGAGAGCTTTTTGCCCCAAGAGGCAAGACATGCACATATTAGAGCCGGGAGCTCTCTAAACTAGCTCAAGCAAATCTTCATCTTCAAGCTTCCTCCTACCTGCAAAACAAATAAATGGCTTCATCTCTACACAAGTGCAGATCCATCAAACAATATCTGCACAGTGCATTACTGCCAGTTCCCTCAACAAAGCTGTTGCCCTCAGAAGCTGCCCAGCTAGCAGCCCATCATCGGGCCAAAGGGAGCATGAATCTCAGCTAACTAGCCTCATAGACTCATACTCCCTAACATCCCATACTAGTGGAAAACTGGCCTCAGCAACATATCCTGCATCATAGGCCAGTTTCCCAGGCCAAATCACCCCTCAGGATTACCTGGCCAAGTAAATCCATCATTGGGCATGGGAGTCTCAAATGGCAAGCCTCCACCATTTTGCATAACATTTTTTCCTCCATCATAGATTTTTCAGCACTATATTAAAAATCATCACAAGCATGCTTGAAAAGGATGTTATATTACGAAAGCAGACTATCTTACTTATTTTCTAATAGTAACTTACTTGATCTAGTCAGTTACATAAACCGGAGAAAGCTGCCATAGCCTTTTTCTCCGGGCATTCTTTTCCCTCATCTCTTCATTTTCCTCAAACTCAAAACTAGGTGAATTCCCATCAGTGGCAAATGGAACAACAAGCACTCCTCTTTCTACAAGGGCATTAGTAAATGGTTCACTGAGTTTAAAACACTCAGAAATGAAAGATGAAGGACCAGCAAGAATGTCCAAACAAGCAATTCCTCTAAAATCACTAACAGGAATAATTCTCTTCTCAACCACACGAAGCTTTAGATTTGAGAGGTTCTCTTCTCTTGAGAGCTTAGCTATTTGAGCATTTTTAGCTCTATTCTCCCTGTAATAAAGAAAGGAAAATATGGAGACTGCTCCAATGTCTATAGCAAGACCTTGTGCGATCTCTGGAACTTCAGCAGCTCTTGATGAATTTGCCAGTGCTCCAATCAGCTGTGATGTGGCTATAAATCCCCCAAGAGAACCGCTTCCAATAAAAGTAATATAGAAGAACATACGGAGGGATTGAAAAGGAATATACACAACAAATTTTAAAATAAATAAACAACCATAACAAATAACAAAAAATAATTAAATTAATTACTATTTTTGAAAAAAAATAACAAACAAAAAAACAATTAAAAACGACGTACCTACCTGCGATGCGGTCGGCGTCCGAAGCTTGGAGACCGGAGGCGCGGTCGGCGTGCGTAGCTTGGAGCGGCAGCGGAGGCGAGCTTGGGCCGCAGCGGAGGGGAAGCAGTCTGAAGCAGCGACAGTGCGTGCGCTCGGAGCTATGGACGATGAAGAAGCTTGGGCGGCAGTGTTCGGCGATGGACTGGACTGGCCGGACGACGGCGATGGACGGCGTGCGGTGGAGGATGGAGAGCTACGATCTGATCTGCTGTGGAAGGTGGTGCGTCGATCTGATCTGATGCTAGGGTTGTGGGGGATAAAATTAATAAAGCGCGTCCAAAGTTAGCCACTTTGGACTCGGTTGAGTAAAGGGATTCTATTATTCGAGTCCAAAGTGCCCAGCTTTGGACGCGAATAATAGAAGGCTTTTAATATCCGCGTCCAAAGTTCATAGCTTTGGACGCCAAAACTGTTTTAAAATTAAAAAAAAAAAATTATTTATATAGTGGCATTTTAATTACAAAAATGCCACCGCGTTACACTTTTGGCGTCCAAAGTTCTAATTTTGGACGCGAATTAATCAATTTTATTGATGTTTTTTGTACTAGTGTTTATTGCTATTACTAAAGCACCAAATGCTTAAGTTTTCAACATCTAAAGGTGCAGCCATCAAGTGGCCGAAAGTGCCTAATTAAGCACTCTACCTAGTGCTTGATAGCACTATTACAGTGTTTTAATTTGCACTTCCAAGTGCCAAATTAAATTGCACTTTCCATTAGTGCTACAAAAGCACTATTCACCAAAACACAATTTGTCTCAAATTAAATATACTAGTATAATTTGGAAATTTTGATCAAGTTAATTATAACACAATTAACGAGAACAAATCAACCAAATTTTCCAACTAGTTGAATCAAACTCATATAATCGTTCTTAGAATATTATATAAAATATTCAACACTTGAGCTGTGACGCTCACGATTATATTGTTATCCCAATTATTTGACAAATTGATCCTTGAAATCCGTATCGTTCTACATGAACTAGAACCGAAGTTTGTTACGGGATTTCAACATATAACACGCTTGTTACATTTCGTTCCGGCCGTTAAGCCGTTTTAGCATTTTCCACATAATGCTCCGTGATGCACCACGCACCCATATTGAATTATTTCATACATTTGACATTATTCTAACAAATAATTCGTATGTACCAAAATTCAACTCAATGGAACAATTATATTTTTATTCGAATAAAATATTACAAGGATACTACAGTATTTATTAGAAATAAATAAATAGGAAAAACTACATCGGAAACATATTTCCTTATTCCTATCTCGTAGTGATCCTTCAAACCCGTGTGCCTTGTTCCATTCTCAACCGTCCACTCCACAAAGGGTGGTCCATAGGGCACATCGGGGGTACCTATGGTTGTGACCTCACTCGTCCAACCATCCACATGTTTTAAACATGACGATTCTCTTTGTAGTGGCATTTTTCCTTCTTTTCATAATCTTCATGAAAGCTAAGCTTCCGCTTGCCTTTCCTTTGATTATCGTTGAAGACTTTGGTTATACTACAATAGTCCTCAGACCATGTAGTCATTACACCATCATAGGATCCTTCGTGGCTTTTAGCCGATCCACTAGACAACACAATAGGTACCAATTGTGTGCCATTAGCCACAGGTCTACCGGATCGTGAACCAAAGTTCTCCGGAGCACCATCGTGTGTCTTTGCAACTACCATGGAAATAACATTTCCAACGTTGCCGCCATCAACTGGCATCACGGAATGTGCAACTTCGTTGCCTTTCCGACCATTTGAATGTGCACCTCCGGCAACATTCACGGATCCAACACTTTTGGAATCCATCGACTTGTTCATTATCAAAATAAATAAGGTTTTAAGATTGTTGGTGATAATGAACCAAAATCAATTTAATATCCGTAAAATAATATTTATATATATACACACGAAATATATATAAAATATTATTGGATATATATCCGAAATATATATATACACACAAATATATATATAAAACAGACCCAACGGTTATATATACATGTATATCTACGAAAAAGATATACCAATATATATCAACCAAAAAGAAAATATAATCCTTAGATTATAATTCCAAAACAACAAGAAAGAACGGATTTTTGCTTAGAGCATAATCCAAAACAAGAAAGAAGAAGAAAGAAAGAAATGTACGAGTTAGGCAAAGTGCCTGTCTTTCCTTAAAACCTTATTTGCCACCTCCCTCACAAAAGTGCTAGGAGCGTTGTGGCCTAGGTTTCCCAGGATAAAACGTAAAACGGTTCGACGTTTGAGCACCCAAACGAACGAACCCGGCGAACTAGAGCACGGGCAAAACACAGTAGCAAGAAAAGGAGTAGGAGCAGAGGTTTTGAGAAGGAAAATTGCTTATCTTTGTGTGTTGTGTACTCTCGTGTTTTTTCCACACTTGTTGTAAATCACTTGCTCCTACTACCTCTTCTTATATAGGAATTGGAGTACTAAATAGCATTTAGTAGGCATTCATGGCACGTTGGTAACATCTGAAACAGCTGGTCATTAGTGCAGGTTTAATTCAAAATTCAAAATGAATTAATACAGAGATTAATTCCTGTAACGGATGAATTAAATCTCCACTGTCCAGAAACAGCTCTGGTAGACCGAAGTGCTGTTCAGCCGCAGCGCGCTTTCAAGTGGCATAACTTAGCCCGCAAGGCCAGCCAATTTCCGGACGACATTCGTGCCCGTAGGTGCCGGCGCACATGAGCTCGGGCTTGAATCAAGCCTCTCCGAAGTCATCTCTAGTTGGAATTTGATTTGCACCCCCCCCCCCCCCCCCCCGCGCGAGAGAGCCTCTATGCTATACAATTCTACAAGCTCTAAAAAAGCTCTTGTATAAAAGGGGGGTGAAATCCTCTTTCCAAATCAATGTGGGACAAAACTCACTTTCCCCTTACATTTTCCAACTCAATGGGTCTACTTTGAGAATCAATATCTCATTCACCCATTATCCGTTTTAAGCGTACAATATATCAATCTCTTCGTCTCACTACGAAGAATCCGAATCCACTTTCACCCGATCCAAATCGGAAGTGGACCCCACTGATAATTGTACCACAAAATAGCCACTTAACATGTCATTTTATGCCATTTTAATGCTATTTTTCCAACAGAACAGTCCAATGGAAAATATAGAAGAAAAATTGAATGTATTATATGAAAGGCAAAAGAATAAAAACTAGTTCCGTTATACTAATTAGAGTAAATTTGCCGATGTTTGGCAAACCTACCTTAAAAATGAAAAGTAGCTGAAAATTGAAAAGCTAAAACCTAGAATCTGAAAACTAAAGAGCTGTTAAGCTAGTTTATTATGCTTAAAAGTGTTTGGTAAAATTAGCTTTTTGATAAGTTGATAAATGTAAAAAGACTAAAAAAGACATCTTCATAAAATTTAAATAGCTTTAAATTTAAATAGGTTTGTTTACCTATTAAAATTTAACATTTTGAAATGAAATTATTAGCATAATTATGATCTAGCATCCCATAATGAAGTAGCAATATACGAATCATATTAAGTTTAATATTAGTATATAAAATTTATATATTTAGAGGCTATATTAAAAGTACTATTAAACACACAAAAAAAAATTAAATTTTAAAATAATTAAAAAATATTAAAAAAATAAATAAAGAAAAAAAAGTTGGTTTGACCAATAAATAGTAAATATGACAGTAAAATGTAACAAAGGAATTATATATATATATATATATATATATATATATATATATATATATATATATATATATATTAATTATCCGTTAGTATTAAGCCAAACTTCAAGTAATGATGAAGAAGTAAATTTATTTCCTTATGCATCATAATAGCTAGACAACACATTGGGTTGTTTGGTAACTAGCTGTTAACGGATTGGGTTAGCAGGTTTGACTAGTTGATAATATTAGTGGGTTGTAAAAAAATGTTTGATAAATTAGTTATTAGTCAATAGTTGATTACATGTCAAATGATCTTTAAGGGTATAATTTATTTAAAAAAAAAAAAACTGATTGAAAAAAAATTATTTTGAACAATTTTTTGAATTTTAGTGTTTTGGAGCAATAAATTGTTACAAAAAATTGATTAACCAAACATTCATATTGGCTGCTTAACTAAGTCAAACAACTAATATTGGTTAAATAAGTCAAAATTGGCTGATATACTAATTACCAAATTCGCTGATAATGTATTGATGGTTCATTGCTAAAACTGTTCTTCCATGCCTCGGTCGAACATTATCATGTCCATGCTATTAGGACTATGTTATCCATATTTGACTAGGACTATGTTATCCATATTAGACTAGGACTATATTATTCGTGTTAGACTAGGATTCTATCTAGTATCTATATATTCGCTCTCAGACATTATGATTGAATACAAAACAATCTATATTCCCATCTGGTATCAGTTTCCAGGTTTTCTCTCATGGAGCTAGGGTTTAGCGCTTAAGAGTGTCGCTAATTACAATTGTTGGTTGATGTGATTCCATAATTACAATGAGCACTTGTTCGGCAGCGACGGAACCGTGTCAAATTTGTAAAGGTTTCGGTCACACGGGAGCTAATTGTTTATGGCGCTATGATGAACCGTGTCAAATTTGTAAAGGTTTCGGTCACACGGGAGCCAATTGTTTTTTGGCTCTATGATGATCCATGTCAAATTTGTAAACGTTTCGGTCACACAGAGCCAATTGTTTACGACGATATTTAGGGGCTCCGGGTTCTCAGTGTTTTTCACCTTCCCCGGCTCCTCAGGCGAATGTAGCTGTTTCTGGTGATGACTCGGGTGGTCCACATGAGTGGTTTCCTGATACTGGTGCTACCAACCATGCTACGCCCGATTCTTCTTTGTTGACCTCTGCGACGAGTTATGATGGCCCTGAGACTCTTCGCGTTGGCAGTGGTACAGGTTTGCCTATTGTTAGTGTTGGTTCAGCTTCGTTAGTCACTAATTCTAGGTCTTTTAAGTTAAATGATGTTTTGCATATTCCTAATCTTTTTAGTTTGTTATTATCTGTCCAGCGTTTTGCCAAAGATAATAATGTTTTCTTTGAGTTTCACCCACTTTGTTTCTTTGTGAAAGACATTTTGACCAAGAAAGTCCTATTTAAAGGGCATGCATCTGATGGCTTGTACTCCTGGCCTGCGTCATCTCCTGCTCCAGCTGCATTCGTTGCTGCGCGTTTCTCTTTTGTCTGGCATATGCGGTTGGGGCATCCGCACTCTCGAGTGTTACGCAAATTTTAGAGTCTTCGTCTGTAAGTACTTTTAATTCGAAAGATCTTCCCAATGTTTGTTCCTCTTGTCAATTGGGAAAATCATCTCGTTTTCCATTATCTCGTGTTGAAACTACTAGTACACATCCTTTAGAATTAATATATTCTGATATTTGGGGCCCTGCGTCGTTACTTTCTGTGAATGGCTTTAAATATTTTGTGTTGTTTGTGGATGATTACACACGGTATATATGGTATTATCCGATGCGTGCCAAATCTGAATTATATGGCATATTTGATAAGTTTTTGTCACTTGTTGAACGTTGTTTTTCTCACAAGATTATTTCTTTTCAATCTGATTTAGGGGGATAATATAAGAAGCTTGGTTCCACCCTTTCTTCTCTAGGTATTCGTCACAGGCAATCTTGTGCCTATACTTATGAACAGAATGGACGGGTGGAGCGCATGCATCGTCATGTTGTTGAGACATGACTGTCCTTAATGGCTCAAGCATCTGTTCCTTCTCGTTTCTTGGACTATGCTTTTGAGACTGCTGTTTATCTTATAAATAAAATGGCCACTCGTGTTTTGTCTGATGAGTCACCACACTTTCGTTTGCATCGTTCTCCCCCATCCTACTCTTACTTGCGGGTATTTGGTTGTTTGTGTTTTCCTGTTTTGCGTCCATATAATCGAAATAAGCTACAATTTTGTTCATCTCTGTGTCTTTCTGGGTTACCCCCTGTCTTATCGTGGCTATCGTTGTTTAGATACTAACACTAACAAGGTCTTTATCTGTCGCTACGTGCAGTTCGATAAGGCTGTGTTTCCTTTTGTTTCTCCTATTGCCTTGCAAGTTCCTAAGCTACGGTCCGAACCATGGGCCACCGCACCGGTTGTGACGAGCCGAGGGAATGATGTCTCGGCCACCTTTATTGATGGCACTCGGCAGATTGACGAGCCCGTGTTGGCTTCTGGCCATGGTGACGGTGCTGGTCACGAGCAGTCCGCATCGAGTGAGCGGACTGTCTCGAACCAGCAGGTTGAGCAGCGCGGTAGACCGCGCGGGCGTCCTCAACGACCCACTCCACCTCCTCGGTCGCATGGCATGAACACTAGTAGCTCGGGTCCACATCAACATGTTGCCTTAACCACTACTTCCACCGTGGTGTCTGAGCCTACCTGTTACTCTTAGGCGGTCAAGTTTCCTGAGTGGCGTGATGCAATTGACGCAGAGTTCAATGCCTTGGTTTATAATCATACATGGCGTCTTGTTCCTTCTCGACCAGGTATGAATGTTGTTGGTTGGAAGTGGGTTTTCAGAACCAAACGGAAGGCCGATGGTTCAATAGAACGTCATAAAGCACGATTGGTGGCCAAGGGTTTTAATCAGGTTGCTGGAGAGGACTTTTTTGAGACATTTAGTCCTGTGGTTAAACCTACTACGGTACTTCTTCTCTTATCTTTAGCCGTATCGCGTGGGTATTCTATTCGCCAGTTGGATATCCACAATTCTTTTTTGAATGGCGAGCTAGCTGAGACTGTTTACATGCACCAGCCACCTGGTTATGAGGATCAGTCATTACCTGATCATGTGTGTTTGCTTAAAAAATCTCTCTATGGTCTCAAACAGGCTCTACGTGCATAGTTCACAAGGCTACATGATTTTCTAGTCTCTGTGGGCTTTGCGCCTTCAAAGACTGATGTGTCTCTTTTTTATCTATTCTCGTGATAATGTTCATCTTTATTTCTTGGTGTATGGTGATAACATTTTGATTATGGGGTCTGACTCAGACCGTGTTACTCCTCTTATTAATAAATTGGCACTTGAGTTTAAAGTTCGTGATATGGGTGTGCCTTCTTTCTTTTTGGGAATTGAAACTGTCCCGTTATCTGGTAGTATGCTTTTATCTCAACAACTGTACATGAAGGGTATTCTCAAACGTGCTAGCTTGGTGGATTGTATGCCAGTGGTCACGCCTGTCTCTACCGCAAAAACCGCCGACGATGTTGCCACTCCCTATGTCGATCCAACACAATACAGAAGTCTTGCTAGTGCTCTCCAATATCTTACGGTAACTCGTCCTGATCTGTCTTATGCTGTTAATCTCTTGTGTCAACATATGCATGCCCCCACTACTACGAACTGGGTCTCTCTAAAAATAGTCATACGATATGTCAAAGGCACCTTGCATTTTGGTATGCGTATTTCTCGGTCTGCGTCGATGGATATTCACGCCTATTCTGACTCAGATTGGGCTGGCGATCTGAATGATCGCAAGTCTACTAGTGGTTTTGTTGTGTTCTTGGGGAGTAATCTTATATCTTGGGTTTGTCGGAAGCAATGGACAGTAGCACGTTCTTTAACTGAAGCAGAATACAAGGGTCTGGCTGATGTATCTGCTGAGGTTACATGGCTTGTTTCAACTAAAGCAGAATACAAGGGTCTGGCTAATGTATCTGCTGAGGTTACACGGCTTGTTTCTCTGCTACACGAGATCGGCATCCCACCTGCGTCTCCTCCTCGACTATGGTGTGATAATTTGGGAGCTACTTACTTATGTGCCAATCCAGTGTTTCATGCTCGCACGAATCACATTGAGATTGATTATCATTTTGTTCGCGATAAAGTAGCCAAAAAGGAGTTAGATGTGCACTTTATTTCAACCAAGGATCAACTAGCAGATATCTTCACCAAGTCTCTTTCGTTTATTCGTTTTAATTCTCTCCGTGGCAAGCTCAATGTTTTGGCTAGCCAACCTTGTGCCTGAGGGGGAGTATTCGGACTATGTTATCCATATTAGACTAGGACTATATTATTCGTGTTAGACTAGGATTCTATCTAGTATCTATATATTCGCTCTCTGTACTCTCAGACATTATGATCGAATACAACACAATCTATATTCTCATCCATGCAACCCATTATTATTTTTTTGTTTTAGTTTCTTTTATTTTGTTTGAGTTCTATTAGGTGTATTCCCAAATTATATTCCATCACTTTTACTCCATAATATGCAAATAAAGATTGGACATTTTTATCATGTAGATCTCAGAAAAGTGTACATTAAGAATTTGTGTGAGACAATACAAGTTTGGAGTAAGATATGAGAGTCCATGTAGTATTTTCCATTTTGTTTGTGTTTTAGTTTTAGTTTTTTTTTTTCTTATTTTTTTTTCTTTTTTAGTAACAAAACAGCTCTTCTTATTGATCAAACAACATTTTACCTTCAAGGAAGTATGCCTAGCTAATGCCATGAAGACTTATTCATACACTAAAATAATCATTTTCCTTCAAATATTATATATCATCTACTTCATGATCGTCAAGAATCCAAGTCCCATCGTCCTGCTGAACCATCCCTGTGTTCTTCACAACATACCATTTCGCCGGCGCAATAAGGTTGTAATTACCTTTCAACTGATCACTATACTTGTTCAAAAGCGCAATGTCAAAATCCCCATGAAGCTTAAACCCTCCCTGAGACCCTTGAAACCCATCAACCCCATGCAAGTAAGTCACCATAATGTGCCAGCTTGCCTTAAAGCCGTCCAGATAGTTCGATTTCGAAGCATCAACGTGAAACTCGAAGCCCACATGCTCGTAGGATATTATCGGCAACGTTGTGTTTACTTGGACTCCGAACGGTGGCAGTGTCGGCACGATGTCGTTGGCATTGGTGAGGCGGAGGATTTTAAGGTTGTCAGCGGCGAGGTTTGAAACGGCGTTCTTGAAGTTGTGTTCCCCTACTTTTGGGCTTGCAAATAGGAAGGCTGTGACGGGAATGGGAGAGTCTTTGTTGATTGGATTGCTTACTAGGTCCACTGCGGTTAACGTTGCCAGTGATGAACCTAAGCTGTGTCCTGCCAGGGTTATGCTGATGTCTTCGTCCTTGTATTTCTCCACAAGTCTGCTTATTTCTTCACGAATCTGTATTTTTCATGTCAATCAATTAAAATATTAAGCTGAATTGAAAAGATTAAGGTGAACGGAATGATGTGTTTGGGTCTCTCAATTGTTATTCATTATGCAATTTAGGTCGGTATTATTGGTAGGCTTTTTAGACTGTCCCTACGTACTATCTCACTTTGACAGTTCTACTTGCTGAGTTATATTGCGTGACAAATTTAATAAAGACCAACACAAATTCCTAAAAACGAATGAAATGTTGACGATGAAGTATCATATTAACAATGCTTTAAACAAATAAAAAAATGTCTCATGTTTCAAAAAATTGAAAATCTGGAATTAAATTGTATAACGACCAACAATTTATTGATTAAAAGTGTGATTTCTGCTGGAAGAGAAAAAGAATGTATGCTAAGAAGGGATGTAAGAGTGTATACTTAATCTATTCTTGATACTAACAAGGTATATGGGCTGGGTTATGGAGAGATCGAAATTAGGAGTCGCGTCTAATTATTTTTTTTGAAAAAAAAAAAAAACAAAGTAAAACCCTAAAATGAACAAAAGTTTAACTCGAGAGACTAAATTGACAACATTACGCTTACAACAATAGAAGTACTGGATTTTTACAAACTGACAATAAAAGACTTCATTTCATAACAGGTAATGTGACAAAAAATGTGATCTTTCCTTATTCATATATATCATGCATATTGGGTAAATTGCATTTTTTGGTCCTTCAATTATTAATCATTATGCAATTATTGTATAGAATGAAATGTAGTTAGTTAAGATTGTATGGGACATCATGGTACCTGATCCCTGGCACTCACACCCTTCAATACAGGATCTGGATTCACGGCGGTGTACATATCGTAGAAGCCTTTGTGTACGAGAGGATCGGAATCTTGGCCGAATATTAATGGCGCTTTTACCAACAAAAAGTCAAAATTCTTTAACCATTCCACCGGCCGGGCTGTTCCTCTCCAAGCGACCAGAATGTCTCTCCGCCCCAGCGCGGCTTTTCCGTCATCCGTCGCCACCGCCACGTACCCCATCCAGTTTGATTGCTTCAGCACGGCATCTGGTCGCAGTGGCGGAATCAAATAGTCTATGGCAGTTGGAACAGTTGAGGGTGAATAAAAGTATTTCGTCACTTCATACCTTCAACATCAACATTATAATTAATTAGGGTTCAGAGGTAAATAAGTCGAGTCTGAATATGTGTCTCATCTGTTTCCACAATATTGTGTTTCAATTAACACATTGTTAACATTCTCTTCCTTTTAGACTGGGTTATGGATGAAACTTGTAAGTAGAGCTGTCAAAACAGACTTAGCTGACCAAGCTAGCTCGTCCCACCAAAAGGGTTAGGCAAACTTTGAGATTTTAGATCTATTTTATTAGCAAGCATTTTAGTTCGCCATGCCTAACCTACGGGAATTGGCAGGCCCCGACCAGCCAAGCTTGCCAAAGTATTAAATTTTTTTTAAAAAAAATTATTGCAATAAATAAATATTTCAAATATACAAAACAAAAACCATAAGATAATCCCCAAATTTCCTTATTCTTTAAATTATATTTATTTAAGTTTTAGAGTTTTAGACTATCTAAAATGATTTTAGCACTTACATTTTTATTTTTTTTTTACAAATTATAAATTTACAAAAATTACATAGTTATGATTTTGGCTGCCCCTGCCTAACCCCGTGGACCTAAGGCAAGACGAGCATTTGCCCCCACCAGCCCGCTTTGACCGCTCTAACATAACATTGGATGAGAAATTTTATAAAGACGAACACAACCCCATAAAAATGAATAAAATGCTAACGATTAGTTAATTGAAGGACCATATTAAAAATGATTTAAACAATAAAGGGTCTCAGGAATTAAATTGTATAACCGCCAAGAATTCATTGATCACAAGTGTGATTATATTTTCAATCGAAAATTAAAGAAGATGAAAGCTAAGAAGGGAAGTAAGAGTGTATACTTGAAGGGATTGCCATTGTCATGGCCAGACTCCCTAAGAAGATTTTTCCTGGCGTATCGACAAAGTCCAACATTCTTTGAAATTGGTTCGGCAATGAAGGAGTCGTGAACTGCCGCAACCATTGATCCGTAATGAATGAGGTATCGCCGGAGATCGGAATCCAAAGGGTCAAGAAGCCCTTCCCAGTTCTTACTTCCACTCAGATCCTTCCATCTTTCTGCAATGCCACTCACAGATACCGAGCCTGTTCATATAATAATTAAATTCAATATATACTTTAATTCATGCCCTCCATATATAAGGCATAGTAGAATTTCAAGAACATGGTCATCCTGTAAAAGGTGAGGACTGATCTCAACCGTTAATCATGATTCATCAATGATTAAGAGTTTTAGTAAAAAAAAATGTCAATTTTATAATTATTAAAAATTTTTAATAGGGATATGTTTATAATAAGACTCTAATCTGATATTAATTGTCAAGCTTAATTGCAATTTGTTTACATACCTGAAACTCCAAGAATAAGACTTCCCATGGCTGAAACAAAGCAAGTAAAAGCAACATATTCAACCAAGTTCCCCTTGCCATGACCAAACACGCCGCAACCCATTTCTTGTTGAACGGCTTTATTATCAGCAAAGTAGGAACGAGAGAACCAACGTTAAAGACAGATAATATATATATATATATATATATATATATATATATATATATATATATATATATATATATATATTTGAGATGTATAGGTGGAAGATTAGGATGATGGAAGAAATTTAAGGTATGATATAAAGTGGTAATACAATCATTGACAGCGAGAAAATTTCTTACTAAAATTTTGACGAGTAATATTTTATTTTATTTTTCACAAAACAACAAAAGGAAGTATATTAGATTTCTTCCTTTTTTCTGGTTAGAGCACGAGGTGTTTTCTATAATAGGCACATTTAAGTTTGTACCATATTTAGATTAATTAACGTTGACATCAGGCCGGTCTGATTTAATTAAGGCGCAAAGTGCTGACTGGATTTGTTCTTTCATATGAGAAGGAGTTTGGTGAACTCCGGACCTTCCTTAAGAGATGAGAGTATATTAGTTTTTTCACACAAAAACACAAAAAAACAAAAAACAAAAAACAAAAAACAAAAACAAAAAAAAAACAAAAAAAAAAAAAACAAAAACAAAAACAAAAAAAAAGGAAGTATATTAGTTTTTTTTTTTTCTTTTTTTTTTTTGGTTAGATCATGATGTGCTTTCTATAATAGGCACATTTAAGTCTGTACCATATTTAGATTAATTCTTGTTGGTACTGGACCAATCTGATCTAATTAAATGACAAAGTGTTAGTTAATTTTTTTTTTTATTTTATTTTTTTGTATGAGAGGGGGTTTGAATTCCGACACCTCTTAAGAGATGAAAGTATACGGTCACCCACGTTAACCAAACTAGTTAATATATTTAAAAATAAATAAATAAGATAATGTGATCTCCTTTAACTTAACCAGAGGTCTCGAGCAAGCTCTGGAAATGCGACTTCCACAGGATGATAGTAACAAGATTAATCTTAGGGAGTGTTTGGTTTGCACATAGGAATCAGAATCTCATTGGGTATCAAATATTTGGTAATGGTAATGGATTTTGATGAAAGTATTTAACATGTTTGGTAGTAGGGTGGAATAGGCCGGGAATGGTTACTAATAGTAGTGCTTGAGAATGAATAAGGGAATGAAACCCTTATTTTATTTGGGTATGAGTTTTTACAATTGATGGGGTATTCGAAACCCAAAGTAGTGTTTTAAAAACCTATCAACCAAACAACAACAATCACTTTCATACCCATTCCTATGGGCAAAACCCACCAACCAAACACACACTTATTTCATAGGGTATTAGTGTACCCTACATTGATTGAGGAAATTTGTGATCGGGCCCAAAAAATTAAATAAAGGCAGAAGTTCAATTATTATTGTGTAGACCATGGTCCATACAAATTGTATGTACCATATTTTGTATGTTATAAAATAATGTACATTTACTACAAGGGAAAATTGTAAAAAATGCCCACTCTATAATATACCAATTATCAATGTCATCCCTGAATTATGAGTGGCGTAAATGTTGCTCCTCAATTATCAAAACGGTGCACATGCATATAGCTCTTCCCGTAACGGACATGTGGTTCCCCGTTAGTGTACGACACCGTTAAGTCGGAGTAAATATGTAATTTAGTTGTTTTTTTCCTTCCCTCGATTCGAAGTACCAGCGATGGAGAACCATAGGTCCGTTACGGGAGGGGCTATATGTGAACCATTTTGATAATTGAGGGACAACATTTACACCACTCATAATTCA